GACAAAGATAAGCTTAGCAACCCAGAGGACAATGGCAATTCTGCTGAAGCCATTGCAGTTTGTGCCAGCTGAGGATGTGGTCCACTGTGTACATCTTGAAAGGCCTGTCTTAAAAGTGAAGCCCTAAAACTGTCTAAAATTACTAAACTAAAAAATAGGTTTTTTCAGAAAGCAAACTGGAGACAGTTCTTACACCTGCCATAAGTACACTTACTGTTCTGCAGCTAGCAGAGTGTTTGTGTAAGTTTGACATAAGATGTGTGGACCTTGCCTGTGACTGAGTTCTTGAAATGGATTTTCACACAGAACTGTCAGAAAATTTCCATCTTGCAGAGTGTGAAGTTCAGCCTAAACCTTCATTTTGCAGAGGCCATATTGCACATTTATAATTTTCCATATATTAAGGACTGCATACAGACATGTTTTGTCCCAGAGATACTTCTTGTTTTGTAGTTAAGTTGGTACTTAGCTTAAACATTTCTTTTAGTGAAAAGCTGTGATTGCACTTATCTGTAGATATTTATTTTTTTAACAACCCTGAAATGAGGGGACAAAATCAGAATCATGAATCTAATCATCTTGCAACAAATGCAGCATAATTTATGAACATTTGAACAGCACTTCTAATCTTCAAAGCACTTTACAAATGCTATTCAAAATGTCCTTCCATAATAGATACTATCCTCTCGGTTGCATAGAGAAATTAACAGAGGACAAGTGATATGCCCAGCGCCCTAGAGCAAACTGGTAAGACTGCCAAACCTAGGAATCAGTTTCAGCACTGACTCCTCACGTTTTCCCTTAAGATCTTTAAGTAGAAATGATCTGAGTATCTGGTTCTGGAACGCACAGCACAGCAGAAGTATGAATGTAACACCATGTTAAGGGACCACTCCCATCTGTTGATTTTGTTAAGTTTGACAGCCAATACTTTGATCTCTCAAAGTTGTGTGTGACTCTTTTCCCCCAAAACAGATTAGGCAGAAAAAGCAAAACAATGTCAAGTTGTTGCCATTTAGAGAACGAAACCTCTAGGAAAGCAACTGCAATGACTTCACATGCACGCAGCATAGGATAAAAATGCAGACAGACATAGCATGTGCTGTTATAATTTATGAGTTCCTTACAGCCACTGATACTCATCCTATGAACAGACACTCCTGCAGAACTTCCCAGTGGTACTGCACCAAAAACCAGTAATACCAAATCATGATGATACTTTTACAGATCCTTTGTAACTGAAAGATTGCATTCTTTCCAAGTTATATATTATGATCACAGAGAAGCCTGGAAGAAAGTTCAAATAAGTTAAAGGAAGAGCTTACAATATTCAGGAGACCTCTCTCTGCTCATCACAGGTGAAAATAGGGTCATTTATCCAGGCCAGAGGGAATGTACTAACATCTCTAGCCAGCTCTTACACTTCTGTCCTGAACTCCCAAGACTGATGTTAGCAATTAAAGATCATTAGCTTACTCTCAGTAGTTTAGACAAGACCCAGAAAATAAAACTGCTTAATCCTCTGAGGTGCCCAAGCTACTGCCAACTTATTGAAAACATGAGCTGAGTGCTACAATAACCAGTGGGTCCAAAACATAATGAGTACTTGTAGAGAGTTTAAGAAAACACTGATGTAAAGGATTACAAACATTACATTGTCTTCTTTGCCTCTTCATTATGCAGTTATGTAAGGCTTTATGAAATTAACTATTTCACACAAAACTGCCTGGAAATAAAAAAACAAATGCAGAAGGGGTGTGTACCTGCACTTGCTTTTCTTCAGTGCACATCTCTTCTAGCACTTGGAAGCTCACAACAAAGTGAGCCACTTCCACAGCAGTGCTGTGTCAGTCGGTCCAACTGAGGACAAGCCCGTACACCTCAGGAATGCTATGTAATGATTTAACTGCACAAAGTATGTGCTGTTTGCAGAGTGTTTCTGGTAGATGGAGCATTTACTACTGGCTATAAATTTAGGCCAAAACACAAGGAAGATATGAACTGTATTTTTAAAATGCCTCACACGGTACAAGCTGAGGAACCAAGTACTAATACACATCAGATTATTAAAGCAGAATCTAAGTTTATAATCATTTATTTGTGTATAAATACAAATTATTTTGACATAATAAAGTTTGGGTTTTTTAACTCTGTTGCATTTGTAGTTCTTGTGTTTTTAAATTTTGCTTTGACAAATGGCCAAGGTTATGACTTACAGAGGATGGTTGGTGTAAACAGGAGCAGCACTATGGTATCACCTATTTTTTGTGGTCATAACACAAACAGCAGAGCAGGAAGATGTGCTTTTGCTTCCGTCCTGCACCCGGGGAGAGGAAAGCATGTTGCCCAGAACACTGACACAAAGAGGAGGTCGGGAGTTGCAGAGTAGGGACAGCACTGCCACCTGCAAGAAGTCATGGTAGGGGCTTGTGCTGCACCTGCCAGAGCAGTGGAGCTGGAAGTGCCTTTCTCCCCTTACCATGCCAGATCTGTCCCAGCTCCAATGCCCAGCATACCCCATTTAGCTGCCTTTATGGGTTGCTCCATGCAGCACCCGCTTTACAGAATGAGGCTTATACAAAATGGGAAGAATAGGCTGGGGCAGGAAGTCCAGTCCACAGCCCAACCCCCTTAGCACTGAGAAAAATGTAACCCTTCCTTTTTACTTCAAAAGCTTTTTGCCTCAGTCCTGCTTGACTCCCATTTCTCGACTAGCAGCACAAAATCTCACATGGGCCTCTTACACATACTGTTTACTTTCCAGCCTGGCTATCCCCTAGGATTAGCTTCCTTACAGACATAATGAACAATGCAACTTCCTGTCTCTGAATATGGCTTGATCTCACCCAAGATTATTACAAAGTATACTAATCATTGAACAAAACCACCTAGAAATTGCATGCAGCCTCCTAATCTGCTTCTGGTTTTACACTGCACTAATGAGAAACTCTAGTAAATTACTTGTCTTAATGTAGTTTTGCTCAGATGCAACAGCATTCCTCTTTCAGCCAGCACTAGGAAAGGCCAACCAGCTCAATGCACTGAAGTGGTGAGCTGTAAGGTATCAATGTCCAATAGCTGGATGGCTGCCTGTTTTCTTGAACACTGCTGGTAAATGGCAGACCTAAAAATCCATGCCAGCACCTTTAACTTGTCCCAGACCGGCAATGTAATCCCTCAGCTTTTCTGGCCTGAGCCTTGAGCAGTACAAAGCCTACTGAACCCCAAGATAGCTTCATAACAGCTTAGTTTTACTTTACACACAACTGCAGAGGAACTTGTCAACTATAAACCAGCAACCAACTCGGATACTTAATAAAGATTATCAGCTCATGGATGAGGACAGCTGTAGAAAACAAAAATGTGAGTACGTCCACACTTGCATGTTCAATTTATTGGTCCTCTGTTTAACCTTCCTAAGAGAAAAAAAAACCCAATTAATTAAACAGCTTGTACTGCATAGCACAAGCCTCTAATCTCTACATGTCTCAAGTGACAGAAAATTTTAGAAGCTTCATTTCTTAAATGAAACAAGTCTAAATATAAAACCAAATAAGACCACCACCACCTAAAGTGAGTCATGCTATCATCTTAATGTTTCCAAAATGCTGCAATGCTTTGCATATAAAAGCACTATAAAATTTACAGGACAGAAGCTAGAGGCTTTGGCCCAAACATACAGAGAATTTGTTGTAGCTATAAGCCCACTGAAAAGCATAAGGGATGTTTGCAGTTGTGGAAAAAGGTTTATAGCAACAGTCCTGCTAAAATTATCTCCAACAGTACACTAATTACATTTATTGTAATTGTTATTGTTATTGACTTATTACATTAAGTCATTAAAAATTGCTGAATAAATACAGTTCCCGTTTTAGAAATACTTATTCAAGTTCTTCATATCTGGCAATAGACAACATTTTTTGAACCACAAGACTTTTTTCCTGACACGCCACATTGTATTAGCGGTCTTGCCAGATTGATATAGCATATACATATGTATGACATCAGAAATAGTTGTTACAACCCTGAATTTAACAAATGAAACCACTCAGGCACACAAAAACCACTCCAGTGATCTGCTCCTTTAAAAGGGGTATTTAAGTATAAATCTCTCATTCTTCCTTAATTAAGATCTAACTTTTGTAAACCCACAAATAATTATTTGTGCATTTGTACCACCATATCTTCACATTCTTACTTCAGCAGCTTTCTTAGGTATTTTCATAATTTTGCATTCTTTCTTAATATTAAAATACCTAGACCTGGGACTGCTCTTTTGGATTATATTCAAACAGATTTTAAAACATCTCTTTAAATCCCAAGTGGAATTTACTTCTACTTTCAGAAACCAAAATACACTCCCAGGAACACATATGAAAAGAATCTAGACCTTCAATTCTACTGTTACAGCAATACTTTCAATTCTACACAAAAGTTTAATAGCTCACTCATAAATAGCTGTCAAGAGAGCTACAATGTATGTAACTGGCAATGCCAAAGTTAAAAACCTTAATAAACTGCAATAAAAGGGTCAACACTGGGTCATGGATAAGCGACTCTTGATTTAGGATTAAATATATTTTGAAACGCAACAGCATTTATAGCAAACTTTTATTCAACAGTTTAAAAAGTGTATGGAAATTTTCATGAACAGAGTTATGCAACGGAAAATACCTTCCTCTTCCCCCATTAAATGCATTTACCACAGTAGTCAGTTTTAAAATGCCTGGGTATTTTTGAATTTCTTGTATACATATATAGCATTTCCATATTTAAGAAGCTATTGTCCTGAGCAGTATATGAAAAGGCATTATTTAAACTACCTAGTTACAGGACATTTGTATGATTGATAACAAGCACAGAACAATTTAGAGACATTAAACATTTAATGTGCCTTTTCATTAAGGAAGGCAAGTGATAACTAGGTCTGCTTGCTTAACACTGTGAGTGTCAATTTAGTACCATGTACTTAGATCTGCGCTAGAAAGACACACACAAAACATGTTTGTGAAGTATATTTTGTTACAATAAACCAAGCTTGTGCTCCATCATCATGTGTGGTTCTCCCATAACCTCACTCTGGGAAGGATCTGAAAAAAGAAAAGTAGACAGTGTGAAGCCTTTACCAAGATACAAAGAATAACAATAACAAATGAAGGTGAACATCTCTTTGCATTATAATGCTTAGTGCAACAGTTATTTGATTTTTGACAGTGTTGCCGAGTGCAGATCTGTAACTCAGTAGCCTCTATCCAAAGCACTGATCACAGAACAAACACGTATTGTAGAACAGCTTGTCATAAGGACACACACATACATTTCAAGTAAAACCAATTCTGCATAAGCCCAGACTCCAACTGCCTGAATCTCAAAGGGATTACACTACAAGTTTAGAAAGAGAAAACTCAAGTCTGACTGAATCTTTTCTCCAAAGTTGCCCTACACCTCTTTCCAACATAACTTCTCTGCAAAACAGGAGCTCACAGTCCTCCCTTCTGTTAGCTGGGACATACTCCTGGTTTCTCCTTTCCACTCAGCTGCCTAGTTTCACAGAAATTCTACACCTGTAAATATCTGAGATTTCCTCCATTCTGCAAAGTATGGTTGACCTTAGCCACTGTACTCAAAGGCTACCAAGGAATGTGCAGAGGACACAAGAGAGACCAATACTGACAGTATGAATTTCTTTTCTACACAAAAATTTTTTAAAAAATCAATCAAACAAAAAAACAAACCCAGGGCCAGCACACATGTTGCGACTGTTTGGAAGAAATATACTTTTCTTTATGGGTGGATCAATCAAGTTTTCTTTCCATAAAGACATATTAATGCCTCTGATTCCTCCAGAGACAACAGAAGTATCTAGTCCACTTCCTGATAAATAAAGCCTTAACAAAAACACTTGTAACCCACTCTCCTCAGCACTCTATAAAAATCTAACAGTTTGTTGTGAGCAAAGGTAAATAACCAAATTTTTACAAATTATGTTCGACACTGCTCTACCCCTATAGAACCACAATAGCCCAAGATTCCTTCCCTTGGTCCCTCTATATCCATCTCAGAAAATAACCCCAGATTTGGGGTCATTTTCATGCCTCTAGATTCAGATTTGTTCCTCCATTATTTCCAGCTTCCTGTCTCCCCAGCTATTTCTTCTCCAATCCCACTTCAAAATACTCTCTGCCTCCTTCCATCTCCTTAAATACAAGCTAGAAGTAATTTGTTCAAAAGCCATTTTTCCAGATTTATTCTATTCCACACATACTAATAGTCAAACTACCACACAACTGCAGCCTGTTGAGTTCATTTGAGGGAGCCTTTTCTCTGCTAAGTATCTATCTGTTTCACTAATTCTGTACCCCTTCTCTAACATTTTCTTCTTAACTACAGATAAAAACTTTGTAACCTCTGCTTGACAAAATCTGCACAAATACTTTAAAAGTTTCTGAGGAAAGAGGCATACAACATACATACATATTCTACTCCCCCAGCCTACAAGCAAATACTGTCTTGCTCAATATCTCAGAGTGATTTCCACATAACTTACAGCTGAATTACATTTATTTCTCCTTCCCCTATGCTTCTTTGCTTTTAGGATTTAATGTTGTTTTTTGCATTTTGGGAGTTTAATTCTCTTGTTCAGAAGCGGCAAAGAACTTCACAGCTCCCAAATTTTACCCTTAAATGTTTCCATAATATTAAAGCCAGAATGTATTTACCATTAAGGATATCCTCAAAACCAATGCATTCATCATTTCCCCTCAAAATATCCATTCCCATGTTTGAGCTGTGAAGAAATGGTAGACGCTGGACCTGTAAAAAGAGTTCAAGCAAGAGTTCAAGTCTCTGCACATCTGAAATAGAAAGAGTTCATATTTGGATTTCTCAGTCAGAAGTGACTTAGAAACATCAACAGGCAGGAAAAAACAACACTGGAATAAGAGAACTACTGGGACACAAAGACACACAAACACAATCATCTTCTTTTGATTATCTGTTTGAGAGGAACAGCCTTCTAATAGATTTTTAGTTTTCACTGAGGTGTAGGTAGTACAGCAAATGCTGCACTTTAAAAAAATAACAAAGTACTTTCTGTCTACTCTGTAAAGCTCCTCTCACATAAAGTTGGGGAGGTTCACTGCAAAACTCCAGACTCTGAGGTCAGCACTGGGCAACTGATGTATACTGCAGAGTTTGGGAACTACATTCTAAGCCTCCTACATCTCTGACACAGGTCAAGAATGCAAGTGAAAGAGCTATATTGACTTTCACATTGAAACATAATCCTCCTTTTAATTAATCTAAATCATAATTATGTCTCCAATCTCAACCAATTCTTAAGTTTCAAGTCCACTCCCAGTTATTTTCAACAGTCTTCTGTATCATTCACTCACAGTATTTCCAAAAAAAACTTCAAGTAGCACACATAGATTTCAGACCATAAATTTTCTGAGAAAGCATTCACTACTACTAGAGGTACTTCAGCTAAACTACAAGAAAACTTGTATACCCAACATGAATTTTGAAGTAAAAAATCTTCTGATCACCATATTTCCCCCACCCATCTCCCAGAACCACCTCTGGAGACTGACAAACAGGATATCCTCACCTCCCTCATTCTCTGCAATGTGCTAATGTTAGTTAGGAAAAAGATTGCTCAAGACAGCACAGCTGAGACCAAGGGATGTTTGCATATCTCACATCCTGACTTTCACACCTCAGGACCAGTAATTTCTGCCAAGCTTAATGCAGCTCACTATGGTTTAGTAGCACCTTATCACTCAGAGTACAAAATTGCTCTAACTCACTTGGAAAATCTAGTCTTAGTAGCTTGACAACCTTCCAGAAGACAAAAAAGTTTATTAGTACCAATGAGCTTTCTATGTTTCCCTTTCTCCAGCTACCCTCAATCCTAGGAGAAAAGGAAAAGGAGACAGACACAGCTTCTCAATTAAGAGTTAAAACCTTTGAACTTAACTCCCTGTAGAGCTCCCTTGATCTTACAACAAAGGCTGAGGAACAATAAGCAGACAGAAAACTCTCTGTTTCAGGCTTCACATTACCTCTACATCTACTCCCAAATCACTAACTGCTTCAGACCCCTAAGTCTCTTTTCCCTACAGCTGCAGAGACTCCTTCCCGTGAAGGTCATATGTTCCACAGGGGAGAGTATTAATTTTAGGAATTAATACTCAATTCCTCCTGCTTTTCTCTGAAGGCTTACAGGAAGCTATTCCACAGCAAAGCTAGAGCAGTTACCACTTCACCAAATTACCAATAAAATAACAGCAGCTAAGAGGCTTCAGTATATGGACTGCTCTAAAAACTAGTAATTGCACTGTTTGGTTCATAATTTTTAACAGAAGTTTCTTGACAGTGAATTAATTTCTTTTGGAAACATAAGGTATCTCAACAAAGAAAGATGTGTCCCTGAAAGCATGCTTCAAGGTAAACATTTTTTCAAATTGCCTAAGTTATACCAATTGGACAAAAATGCCTACCTGTTTCACTGCTCTGAATTCCATCTGCAGCTTTAAAGGTGCGTGGATTCCTTGGATGTTTCTCAGTGTGGCAAAGTTTGTTTTATCTTGATTTAACTGGAACTGTCAAAACAATATTGATTTTTATTTTAGAAAAACTTGAAGTACAGCCGTAGAAGAAATTTTTGACATCCTACTTAACAGAACCTGCTTACTAAATCTGTATGTAAAAATTCAGTGATACCATCAAACATATCTCAAGCATACAGGTAAGAGAGTGATGCAGTAAGATTTGTTCTATGAAGCTGAAATTGGTTTTTTTGTTAGATTTTATTCAAAAATAGGAGAAATTTTATTTTGTTAATTTTTGATAATCAGGAGATGTAACACCACCAAGTGGTACAGTTTTGCACTACTTTACAACAATATTGTCTGGATTTATAGGAAGCGAAGTCCAGTTTAAAGATCACAAAAAGCAATTTGATATCATAGTAGATATCATAGACTACTTGAAAACACTCGATGTACTTCTTTTCTGATCAAGCAGGGAAATAGAGCACCACTTACACTCTTTATGATTGCGAAAAGCAAATGAAAACTCTTATTTTCCCCAACTGCTCTCAGACTTACCAGTAAGATGAAGAAATTTTATTTAGTAGAGGCTTTTTAAAGAAAAACTGTTCACTCATGTATACTAGACTACAAAGAAACAAGTTCTACTTAATGATAAACTTAAGCTTAAATAATAATAAAAAAAAACAAAACACAAATCTCCAATTTTAAAATCTGTACTCCATTACCATGACAAAAGTCTATTATTATGAGAACATATTTATGAGAAGGGATCTCAAAAACCAACTGAAAAATACAAGTCAAAGATATAACAAGCATTTTCTTTGTAACAATCCATATACTGAATGCTCTTCAAAAGGTAGTAGAAAATACTATTTATATGCCTCATCCTAATTTTATAATTCTGGTTACATTATTTTTCCATTTCTTTTATTTTATAGAGATAAGGATTTTTGGATAGCAGAGCTATTTGGTTTCTACCAATGCTGCCTGAAAAACTTTTTTAAGATTTACAGCAGCAAAAACAACCATGACTATCTTAGGCTAAATTAAATATATTCCTGTTCAAATGTACATGAAAATAATTATTAAACTGGCTGTAAACTTACAGAAAAATTAATCAAACGTGGAAGAAACAATTTAGAAGTCTCATATACTTCTTACAGGATCACATGGCCTGTTTTATTTCTGTGCATTTTTTTGTCTCATGTGATCTCTTAATTATGCAGGTTTTGTATATCAAGAACTGAGTTTAAAACTAAGTTATAACAATCAGTTAAAAACAAAGTTAAACAACAAATAGGTCTGAAACATTAACAGTATTTATAAATAAACTCACAAATTTGGTGTCACAAAACTATCCTTTTAATGCAAGGCAACACTAACACTGGCTAAAATCAGATTTTATATATATATATATACACACACACACAGTCAGACCATGTCCTGCTGTTTAACTTAGCAATTTGGAACATTCTATCAAAATAACATCTTTGCTTCAGGACAGTTTGATACATCATATCTTCTGCACTGACAAAACAGGCACCAAAGACATTCTCTTCAGTCAGCAAGTCCGGACTCCCACTACCTTGCACAGACCACTTGTAATGGTCCATGAGCAAGGACTGAGCCAGACAAGATTGCAAACACTTATGATAAACTGCAGGTGTAAAACGTCTAGCTGGGATTGAGCAATTCATGGAAAAACATGTATGTGCTCACAGGCTGAAAGTCTGAAAATGAAGACAGACGGTAAATCTACAGACAAAGTGGGAGGATCAACCTTCACGAGGTGACAGGCATACCCTTGGCCTACCTGTGGTGGCTGCACACACACTCTTGGATGGCTAAACCTGACCACACAAGTCCCTACTGGGAAGCCCGCTTGGGGAGAGATGTAAGTAAGAGATTAGTATTAAACAGACTTGCTGACAATGTTATTTGTGTCAATAAAGTGTTACTATTGTTGAACACCTTCATTATGTGAAAGACCCTGCTCATTACTTGCTACGATACAAAGCAGTCCAGATAACCACACTGCTAACTTAAACTTCATCATTAGTTAAGAGTGAAGATGGCTACATTTGATGTTATGCTTACATTTTTTTCTGTCAACTCCAGTGGGTGGCTGGGCAACAAATCGTTTTTCACACTTGTAAAGCTAGAAGAACAAGTAGAAAAGACATTAATTTCAACTGGGATATGTTTTTTAAGTTGCATTCCAAAACCAATCTCAGATACAAACACCAGTCCCCAGAAACACACAACTAGCACAGTCCAAACTACAGAAAAAGATTAATAGTGAAGCAGCAAGAAAAACCTCTAACTACAGCACTACCAGGAGAAAAAGTTTCAAATATCTTTTATGCTTGACAAAACAGAATGTGTTTTTCTTCCTTGCTACCTTTCAGAAAGAGATGAAAACACTAATAAATGAAATCATTACAGATATAATTATGTCCAAGCTACACTGTATCTCATTTTGAAGCCTCCAAGCTTTGCAATGTTATATTGTACATACTTTCCCCCCAATGCCAGTTGTATGGCATTTTAAACTGCATGAGCTTATTCTGGATTCATTATCCATGACAGCAACATAAGTATCGCACTCAGGTAAAAATGGCAAACTCCAAACTATTTTTATTATATTACTTTTGGGGTTTGTCCCAGCACTGAAATTAACCCTTTACCACAGTGTTACGGCACAGTCACATAAATGTATATTAAAACTATCAGATATTGCATAATTATCAATACTTTGACATTTCTTTTCTAAAGGACACTATCACAGAGGTAAATGCCAGTTTGCAACACACCTTGCAAGAAACCTCTATAAAAAGCCAACATTTAACAGATGCTGAAGTTCAACACTGTCTATGACACAATTCAGCAAGCAAAAGTGAAGCGTACCCTCGGCGCAGAAGATCATGACCTTCAAATAGCCCTGAAGCTGAAACATCTGTAAATGGGATACTATTCTTCAATAGAGAAGCAGTGCCTCTGGAATTCTGGAAGAAAAGAAAAAAAGGATTACTTTACTTCAACAGAACCAGAACACTTTTATATGGGCCATTAGGCCAGCCAAATGAAAAAAGAATTCAAAAACTCCTTAAAGTACCCCTGGACAAGCCCTAGACTTTAGATTTTCTTTAAAATAGAGGCAAAACATCCAAATCCATAAACCCCACACTAATACTGAATTCTTTCAGAGGGTCTGATAAAAACTAAAGGTACTGACACATTTTTGGGTCTGCTTGACCCAGATCAAGTTAAACTGACAATATACCCCCTGTTCGTTCCACCCTGGGCTGCAGGGATGGAAAGGAGGGAGGGCAAGTCCTGATAGCTGACAGGACAGAAAGGAGCATTCCTTCATTTACTGCAATACTGACACAAGATCAAATTTAGCCACAGTTTGAGGCTGCCATAAGGAGGACAAGGTGTATTCAAGCAGCCCAGTAGGCCAGTTAACTGAAAGAACAAAGGAAAGTATGAACTTGTGGATCACCAGAAGTCCGCAGACTTACTAAGTACTGCTTACTGGTAACCTAGGCGATTAATTTCATTCTAACCTACCTGAATTTATCAAAGTGATTTTAGGATTGTTCACAAAAATTGCTCCTCCAATACGGCACTGTCCAATAAACAGCAAAAGGTGACAGCAATAATCTCTGGAAGGTGACAGTGATGAGCAGCTCACTGAAAGGGTTTCCCCCAGCAGCACTGTCAGATCCAACAGAAAACTCACACTTACAGTTAAGTTGGTACTTCTGTACCAACATGCGAACCCTCAGTAACAAAGAGCTGTAGAACAGTCCTAACATGCCTGTTGTTCCATGCATATAACCCATCTACCAATTTACATTTTCAGCACTGACAAGAGACTGCTGCAAATGAAAGCATTAGATACGGTACCTGGGGGACGTGACAAGAGGGAAAACCAAAGTTAAACTCAAGGAGTAAACCACGAAACACTCCCCAGAAGCAACACCCCCGAGTCACCCCAGTGCCCGGCCCGTCCAGGCAGCCCCAGCGCCGCTGCCCACCGCGGAGGGCCGAGGCGTGACCTCCCTCCCCGGGAGCTGAGCCGCCGGGGCTCTCATCCCGTCCCGCTGCAGGAAGGGTTTTAACCACAGCCGCCACGAGCCCTCCGCGCCTCCTGGGGCCCGCGCCCGCGAGGAGACCCGCCATGGCCGCGCCGGACCCCTATGACTCAGCACGGCTCCGCTGCCCCCGGGGACGCCAAGAGGGTGACGGGAGGGGTATCTGGGGGGGGCAGCAAGTGAGGTCCGTTCCGGTTTGGCTCGGTGCAGTCGAACACAAGGACACCACCACCCACCCGGCGCCACCGCTCCCGCACTCACCATCTTGAGCCCCTGGAAGCGCGCGGCCACTTCCGCCCCGCCCGCTCACTTCCGCCCCGCCCCCGGTGCGTCACCGCGCGAGGGGCGGGGCCGGGGCGGTGGGGGGGCGGTTCCTGTGAGGGGTTCGGGGTTCGGGGTTCGTGTCCCGGCCTCGGCCCTCCTTGGGCACGGCTCTCTTACTCGTAGGTCTGTGCCCTGCAAACTGAACGCGCTGTTCACTGAAGCACAGGAGCAGTTAGGTGGGAAAATACCTTTGAGACCAGCGAGTCCAACCCGTGACCGAACACTGAGGCTGCCTCATCCATTCCTTCCCTAAACACCTCCAGGGACAGTGGCTCCGCCGGGGCAGCCCATTCCAAAGCTAAATCACCATTTCTGTGAAGAAATTCCTCCTCATGTCCAACCTAAACCTCTCCTGGCAAAACTCGAGACCGTTTCCTCTTGTCCTGTCGCTTGTTATCTGGGAGAAGAGGCCGACCCCCTCCCCGGCTGCACCCTCCTTTAAGGCGCCTCTAGAGAGCAATAGGGTCACCCCCGACATCTTCTTTTCCAGGCTAAAACTCCAGGTCGTTCTCACATGCCAGCAAAGGCCAGCTGTCTCAGTGCCACCGTGGTCCCAAGCAGGAGCTGAAGCTGACCAACACCTTCCCATAGCAGCCGGGGACAGCCGTGTCTGTGGTCTCTTGGTGCGGAGAGCTTTTCTCGGTCAAACCCACCGTGTCCCACTCTGCCACAGGCAGCAAAAGCTGCTTGGGTGACACCAAAAGCATCGCAGTGCTGACAGCCTGAGGTGGTGGGACCAGGCAGTTGATGCTTCCAGAGAGTTTTCCATATATTTCAGTGAATTGCTCCACATGTGTATCTGGGATGTTTATTTTATATATTTCTTCTGAGATGTGTAGCTCATTCAATCCTTTAACCTTTTAATTTGGGTTACCCTTAGTGACCCAAACTGACCTGTTTTTGTAGATTTTATATGTGGCAATTAAACATCATCTCTCTATGTCATGCACACACACAGCCACAGAGGCAATATTTAAGCAGGAATTTTCTATGTTTTAATGGCACTAAGATTTGTAAAAAAAAACCGACTGAAAAATGAATACACTTTATACTCTGTTTTCCTTTTTCTTGGACAATAGCTGTACTCCTCTTAAATCCCCCCCCCCCCACCCCTCACATTCTCAACCCAAGTTCTAGCCCTTTGTATTTAAGTCTTAAGTTTAAAGCAAAAACTTCAAAAGAATGAGAATGGACTAGAGTTTTTAAAATCATTTTTAGGAAAATGAGTACCACAAAGGTTTCTCTGATCTTATAATTATAATGGGTACTTGGTTATTGTGGTGTTGGATTCATTATTATAGAATAGATGTGAATACAAAAAACAAATCAAGTTCCTGTTTAACTGCAGCATACAGAAAGCTACATTTTGTCACTAAATGTATTTATTTATTGACTGAGTTTGTTGATCAGGATATGACTGTAGAGATGAAACATCTAACTTTCAAAGTCATTCTTGCAGGACACAGACAGGATGCAATCAGTCCATGTACATTTTTTTGACATCACTGCGATCCACAGTCTAGGCTGCATAACATAAAAGGGCATACATTGCAAGAAAGAACTGGTTTTCCTTTAGAGGCTTTCACACTAGGGAAAACTTCCAGACATAAACACAAATCACACACGTATTTTTTTCATCAGATTACCAAGTATTTAAAATTGAAGCAAGGCTTGATTCCTTTCACAACCAACTTTGCTTTAACAATCTTACAGCGAGCAGCTCGACCGTGGGTGATCGGGTTCCTCTCTGCAGCCCCACTGCAAACAAATAGGAGTTGCACAAGCAATTGTCAGGCTGACCAAACCTGGGACCAGAAATGAAAGCCCGTGGTGAGCGATGAGCACTTTGACACAGCTCAGGAGCAGTTGGTATGGCTGCTCTGCATGTTGCAGGCGATTTCAGGGCTGCCACCATCACCGGGGTCACCAGAGAGCAGACGAGAGCCCACGGGCACTGCATCAGGCACAGCAGCCCGGGCACTGAGCACCCTGTGTGCTGAAACCTCCCTGCTGGGTGCAGTGCTGGCTGCAGGGCTGCATACTCTGCCTGAAGCCATCTCCCTGGCAGATGGTAACATAGAAAGTGACATGCAGTGACTGCAATTGCTAAAGGGGCCTTCTTGTCTGGGGACACTCTTTTAAGAGGATGTGGACACCTTAAAATTAGTGTGAAAATAATTATAGCTCCTCTAAATTGGTGACTTCCATAAAGTTAGGATGATGAATTTCACATGTTGCCTTTAAAGATACACTCCAAATGTTTTGGGGTTTTCTGATAAATTTTTTTTCATCACCTTGTGTAAAGGAGGTCAAAACTGTATTACTCTTTCATGTGTTTTCTGGATATTTTTTACCACATTTTTGGAATGTCAAATCTGGTCTTTTTGGTTTAGCTGTGTACCTTCACTAAAGCTTTAAGCTACCCTTAGACTTAGACTTTTATCTTTTGGAAATGAGGAAGTGTTTACTCTTTTTAAAGAAAATGATACTGGTCATATGGTGTTTTATCAGTTAAATTGGAATTAAAACCCAAAAAAAACCTCATTAAACAAAGCTTAGACAGCTTGACCTAAAACAAATCCTGGTTTCAGTTACTCAGCTTTCTCTTGCCTGGATCCCAGCATGGTATCATTTCATGGGAGGTCCATACATTTCCTGCTGAAGCCTCCAGAAGAAAGGTGGATTCAAAAATTGTCACACAGAGGCACAACATTAGCTCAAAACCTGCGTTATCATAGCAGCAGAGTTCCCAGAAGAGAGCTGGCTTCCACAGATCTCCTCTTCCATGGGTAGAGAAGTCTGATATAGGGCAACCTTTGCTACCTAATCCTAGTCCTGAAAATTTTTTTGTGCGGGGCAAAGGCTGCAAAAAGAGTATGTTCTCCAAGGAAGCTTGTCTTTGTATCCATGGCTTTTTTTTAATATTGATGCAGCTTTGTCACTTTTCAAAATATAATCCCTTTGGCGTATCAGTGTCAGCAATCTGTTCTGACTACGTGAACCTCTATCAGAAGAAAACCTTTATCCTGTGGGACTGGGAAACTCTTTCACTGGTCTTTGTCAACAGTCAGTTATAACTTGTTAAAGTGAAAGTACTTTTTATTTGTTTTTTAATCAAATCAAATAAACACATTTTCTTTGATCTTTAAGAACTCCTTTCTTGTTAACTTTCTTTATACTTTTATGTTTTGGCATTCATTGTAAAACTAATTATTTAAAAAGTTATTTTGTTTTACATTATTAAACCTTTTCTGAATTTAAGATAAACAGAGGCATGTTTTGTTAAAGATTAAAAATAAATTTCACACAAAACTGCAAAACGTAGCAAAGATAATAACATGTAGGCGTCAGACTGTTCCAAAACAAGACTCTCTAGGGGCTCTTCTGAACACACGGCTTCGTTAAAACCATGTTCTGAAAGAGCTCAGGAAACCCCTGTCTCTAACCCACCCTTTCCTGAAGCTGGTGAAAGTATTTAGAAAAAAGTTACTGTTGCAGGGAGACAAAGAAAAAAAAAAAAGAAATCCCACATATTGCTGAAAGAGCTTATTATTTCCTGTTTGTTTACTAGCAAAATATACAGTTTGTAGGATCTTCTTTAGCCAAAACTTTCCCATCCTCATCGTTCAAAAGCAGCAAGCATCCAGTAGGTGACCAGAAAGAAAGCATCAGGATCTCTATATGAATGTAGACTTTTTTAACATACTGAAACATCTAGTGGGGATATAATACTGACAATCCCTCATTTCATTATCTGATTTATAAGTCATTGGTGAAATTTAAGTGAAAAGATAATATATCTGTTTTCAGTTCCTTTTTTGGCGGGTCAGGCAAGGGAAGCCAGTTGTGTTTTGATCCAAGCAATGTACTTGGATTAAAAAGGAGTCCTTGTTCTCTAGAGGTGATGACTTACTTTGCAGCTTGTCAGTGCTTTTGTAAGTCTAGCAATACTTTTTTTGTACTAATCCGTTGTTTGTACTCGGTGAGTCTGGGCTTCCTCTTTGTGCAGACTCAGAAAAGCAGGATGCTGCACTGGGAGAGCCGGTCACTAGGGGATGCTCAGCACCCGAACACTCCGCGCCTGCTTCCCTCAGCGCTCGCCAGCCGCCTCTGTTCAGCCTCGCTCAGATACTCCTGCCTAAGTTTGAGTACTTTTTCACTCGCTGTGAGAATTATGAATCAAGATCAAAAGATAAAAAACAAGGTACGTGCAACAGCTGAAGCTATATGGGCAGTACTTGACTTTCCCAGTTAATGGATTGATAACTATTTTCAGTAAGCTCTGTTACCTCCCTGTGACACTATTAAACTAATCCTGCAGGCTGAGTCCAACGTTTAGCCAAGCGAGTGTTCACGTAGTCAGGACCTCTGGTCTGAAATCAGGTCCCTCATGAGAATTCAAAGGAAAATATTTTTGTGTTTCCCCTCAGTCTGGAGTGATTTTTCTCCCAGGAGCCTACCCACTCTGAACATATAGGTGAGACTAAGAGCATATTTCCTGTGAGAGTGTCTTCCTACGGGAAACCTTGAATTTAATTAATGGCAGTCACAGCTGAAAGAATTGAATGGAACATTACTTCCTAGTCCTGCTACTGTGCAGGAAAAAAAATCCCACAAGAGTTTGCCAAACTGCATAGCAGCAAAAGGGGAGTCTGAGACTGTTCTGACTCATCACCACATCCATTAAGCAGCTAAATAATCAGAAGTCACCTTAATTTCCTCCTATGGCTGAATACAATAAATGAACACATAATCACTAAACTGAAAAATTGGCATTCAGCAGAGAAAACAGGCATTTTCAGCAAAAATATGTGCATCACTAAGAATATTTTTTCTTTTCCTCTTTTCTTTTCCCT